TATTGACCTTCTTATTCCTTCTTATTCCTTTCTATTGACCTTCTTATTCCTTCTTAGTCCGTTCTATTGACCTTCTTATTCCTTCTTATTCCTTTCTATTGACCTTCTTATTCCTTCTTATTCCTTTCTATTCACATTCTTATTCCTTCTTATTCCTTTCTATTAACCTTCTTATTCCTTCTTATTCCGTTCTATTGACATTCTTATTCCTTCTTATTCCTTTCTATTGACCTTCTTATTCCTTCGTATTCCTTTCTATTGACATTCTTATTCCTTCTTATTCCTTCCTATTGACCTTCTTATTCCTTCTTTTTCCTTTCTATTGACCTTCTTATTCCTTCTTATTCCTTTCTATTGACCTTCTTATTCCTTCTTATTCCTTTCTATTGACCTTCTTATTCCTTCTTATTCCTTCCTATTTACATTCTTATTCCTTCTTATTCCTTTCTATTGACCTTCTTATTCCTTCTTATTCCTTTCTATTGACCTTCTTATTCCTTCTTATTCCTTTCTATTGACCTTCTTATTCCTTCTTATTCCTTTCTATTGACCTTCTTATTCCTTCTTATTCCTTTCTATTGACCTTCTTATTCCTTCTTATTCCTTCCTATTTACATTCTTATTCCTTCTTATTCCTTTCTATTGACCTTCTTATTCCTTCTTATTCCTTTCTATTGACCTTCTTATTCCTTCTTATTCCTTTCTATTGACCTTCTTATTCCTTCTTATTTCTTTCTAATCACCTTCTTATTCCTTCTTATTCCTTTCTATTGACCTTCTTATTCCTTCTTATTCCGTTCTATTGACCTTCTTATTCCTTCTTATTCCTTTCTATTCACCTTCTTATTCCTTCTTATTCCTTTCTAAACACCTTCTTATTCCTTCTTATTCCTTTCTATTGACCTTCTTATTCCTTCTTATTCCTTTCTAATCACCTTCTTATTCCTTCTTATTCCTTCTTATTGACCTTCTTATTCCTTCTTATTCTTTTCTATTCACATTCTTATTGATTCTTATTCCTTTCTATTGACATTCTTATTCCTTCTTATTCCTTCCTATTTACCTTCTTATTCCTTCTTATTCCTTTCTATTGACCTTCTTATTCCTTCTGATTCCTTTCTATTGACCTTCTTATTCCTTCTTATTCCTTTCCATTCACATTCTTATTCCTTCTTATTCCTTTCTACTGACCTTCTTATTCCTTGCTATTGACTTTCTTAGACCTTCTTATTCCTTCTTATTCCTTTTCATTGACTTTCTTATTCCTTCTTCTTCCTTCCTATTTACCTTCTTATTCCTTCTTGTTCCTTTCTATTGACCTTCTTATTCCTTCTTATTCCTTTTTAATCACCTTCTTATTCCTTCTTATTCCTTTCTATTGACCTTCTTATTCTTTCTTCTTCCTTTCCAATTACATTCTTATTCCTTCTTATTCCTTCTTATTGACATTCTGATTCCTTCTTATTCCTTTCTATTGCATTCTTATTCCTTCTTATTCCTTTCTAATCACCTTCTTATTCCTTCTTATTCCTTTCTACTGACCTTCTTATTCCTTCTATTGACCTTCTTATTCCTTCTTATTCCTTTCTATTGACCTTCTTATTCCTTCTTATTCCTTTCTATTCACATTCTTATTCCTTCTTATTCATTTCTATTGGCCTTCTTATTCCTTGCTATTGACCTTCTTAGACCTTCTTATTCCTTCTTATTCCTTTCTATTGACCTTCTTATTCCTTCTTATTCCTTTCTATTGACCTTCTTATTCCTTCTTATTCCTTTCTATTGACCTTCTTATTCCTTCTTATTTTATTTTACCTTCTTATTCCTTCTTATTCCTTTCTATTGACTTCTTATTCCTTCTTATTCCTTTCTAATCACCTTCTTATTCCTTCTTATTCCTTCTTATTGACATTCTTTTCCTTCTTATTCCTTTCTATTCACATTCTTATTCCTTCTTATTCCTTTCTAATCACCTTCTTATTCCTTCTTATTCCTTTCTATTGACCTTCTTATTCCTTCTTATTCCTTTCTACTGACCTTCTTATTCCTTCTTATTCCTTCTTATTGACCTTCTCATGCCTTCTTATTCCTTTCTATTTCCCTGCTTGTCGGGATAAGCCCGCAAGAAACATGTCGCTGTAACGTTTTTTTTCTGCCGTGGTAACATTGCACCTTGTCATGGTAACAAAATCGCGTTTTTGTCGTGGTTACAACCCCCTCTCAACTCTGGGCGACCTAGTTTTAAGTTGCTTTGGTGGGATCCAACTTACTCTTGCACAGAACTTAAGGGCACCTATCCGAGGTCCTTGGTGGGCGAGCCGGTGGCCTACCCAAAGATCCACGGCTTCCTCAGTGCGCTGCACCGAAGACGCAGCTGAGCTGTGCTGACGCTGCTTTTTGGGTCTGGTTGCCATTTCAGTGGCTGACCAATGTGGTGTGAGAGTGTGTTCCATTTGAACACTTCCCCAGAATTAGTTCTCCATTTTGCTTTTTTGCTTTTTGGGGGTCCCCTTTGTTTTCCACTAACCAGGCAACAAAAAACATATTATATTTTTGCTGGGGTCCTAATTCCAGCCAAGAAAAGGGGTACTCTTCACGCTGTTCAGGACACAGCCCCCTAGAAACATCGAGGCTGAATCCGGGGTCGGCATTGTCGTGACTTTTTCGGGGCAATCCAGGAAGTGAGCCCCTGGTTTGTGGATTTTACTTGCAGGGGATTCTTGTTTTTTGAATGCTTTTGGGTTTCCGTCAGGCCCCGTTTGACCGGCAAGAAGTTGCCTTCTTGCGGAGCTGGAGATCACATCAAGCAGACCTTGTGATTTCTGTTTGGGTGCATCTTTGGGTGAATCTAGTTTTTGACCTCTTTGGAAACATGCTTGAGAAAGATACAAGTGGCAGCTGATTGCCAAACTTGTCAAGCACCTCTCCCAAGAAGGTTTCAACAGGATTGTTCTGGCTGGGGCCAGGCGTTTTTGTACTGCTATTGGGTTGGATCTTCAGACTTTATCTTTTTGGATGCCCATCAATATTTCCTTTTGAACCTCCAAAAAGTTAAACTTTTTGCTGCAGGATCTACAGCACCCAAGTTTTTTGCGGTCCAGGAAGCCTTTCTCTTAAACACCTTTTGCTTGGCCGCCCCCTTTTCTGCTAGTCAAGCAGGGAGACCGCGCAAATTGCTCAGGGGGGACTTAAAGCATTTGGGCCGAGACACTTTTTTCCCGCAGATGTTCTACTAGGTCCCCGGGTAGTGCCCTTTCTCACCCTTTTTTTGGGGAGGGTTCCCCTACTAAAATAGATGACAGAAAATGTTTGTCCCCTTATGCTAACCTCTCTACTGGAGGGCCTAGTCTAGGTTCGTTTGGCTGGAAATAGATGGCACTCAACCCCTCCAGCTTCACATTCAGCTTCAGGAAGCCACGCACGCAAGCCTGGCGCCAGATCGTTGGATTCCATTTGGGGGAGGAGACCTGAATGTGCTCTTTTGTCGTGCTACTGTGTTCATCCAACTCAGACAGTAGGTTGTAACCATGTTTATAAGGAGACGCTCACCCTAGTTACACCAGTTAGAACCATGATGAACACCTATACTAGTTACGTTGTTTGAACATCCAAGTAGCCTACAACAAGTTATCTCAGCGCAGGGTTCAACGTCCATTACAGTAAAATAATGACAGGGACTCAATTTGGATGATGAAATTCCTGAACGGTAGACAATGTGATTAACATCTCACCCGCTTTGATTTAATAGGAACAACTCAATCCCAGGGCTCAGCTTTCTTCCCCAACAGCTGAAAGCTATGAATTTGGCCTCTGCCCAGAAATCGGCTTTGGTGTGGATTCGGTGAACAAACCAGCTTTCACTAGGTCCCCCAGTGCCCTTTTTCTTGGAAGGTTCCCCTACTAAAATATTCTACAGAGAAAAGGGTACCCAGATTCTAACCTCTCTACTGGAGGACCTAGAAGCAGCTTTCAGTTCTCAGATTTGGTTAAGACTATGTTTTGTTGCTTCTCTGTGGATTTTAAAGGGAATCGATTTCACTACTGGACACATCTTTTCTCCTATTTTTCTCAGGGGACTAAGACGCACGCCACTGGAGGCAGAGAGAGGCAAACCGGGGCTCGCTCGACCCGGTCGACCCGGGGCTCGAGGCATCTCCTCCTTCTTGGTGACCAACGGGCAGTTCCCGGCCGCGCTGAAAGCGCTGCCCAGGCTTCACCCGGGGAGTTCTTCAAAAAGCAGCGGGGGCTTCACCGGGGGCCAAAAGGAAAAAACATCGGAAGTGAGAATGGAGCAAGCCTGGACGGCTATTTTTTTGTTTTTTAATTTCTTTGGACTGTAACTTTTTGGTTGAAATCAAGTAAAAACTTTAGACAGCAACTTGTTGGTTGAAATCAAGTTGCGTCCGGTTGTCAAAGTCAGAAAATGGGGTTGTAGGGGGTGACTTTGATCATGATCATGAGGCCAGAGGGAAACCAGCGCCATGTCGAGGTGCCCCGAGTTTTTGGCCGGGTCCGGATAGGACCACGCAGCTCTACCTGAGCTGCGACGCCGCGGAGCCTGAGAAGCTGCGGGAGGTGGGCCGGCCCCTCTTCAAGGACCGAGCTGCTTGGGTTTCGCTGACTTGTGTGGATTGGTACCCTTATTCTGCTAGGTCCTCCAGTAGTGCCCTTTCTCACCTTGTTTTTGGGGAGGGCAAGCCCCTACTAGAATAGACTACAGCAAAAAGGGTATCCTAATTCTAACCTCTCTACTGGAGGACCTAGCCTACTGGAGGACGTGTGGATTGGTGCGGGAACCAGCATGACACCATTCAGAAGAGGTTTTGAGTTTGGGACACATGGTTTAAATGGAGCATCAAACAACAGCCCCACAAAACCCAGGCCACTGCACGCTCAATGAACTTTGGTGCATTTTGCCAAGGGCTGTTAGGACTGAACAACTTTTTGCCAACTAAGTCGGGCTTTCCGAATTAAGCCACCAAAAGCTATTCACTTTTCGCCGGGGAGCAGAGTTCGCAACCGAGTTATTCTAACCTCTCCACTGGAGGACCTAGGTGTGGATTGGGAAAAAGGCGATTGCTTTCAGTTCCGGAGGGTTCAACCGGTTGGGTTTGGTTCTGACCAGAAATCCTCTTGGATCTCTGGCACTTTCCGAGCAACATGCATTTTAAGCCAGGGGTTGGCTGCCTGGTTGGTTGGCTTCCATTTGCTTAAGAATATGTTTTGATTTCCCCCTTCAGGTTATTGGTTGTAAAAGGAATCGATCGCTACTGGACATATTTTTTTCCAGGGGGCCTTAAGCAAATGGAAGCTGAGTCTCGCGGTTGTCTCGCCTGTCCCGAGTTTCGGGACTTTGCGACTTTGCAACTGGTTGGGGCTCCGTTTCAGACTTGTTTGTCGCTTTTTGGGGTTCCTGGACTTTGAAACTTTTTGGGGGTCCTGGACTTTTGTTACTTTTGGTAAACCAAAAGCGTGGTGACTTTTATTGGGCCATGCACAAGTGAGTTGTTGGATCATGTTGTGAGGTGTTTTGTTTTTGTTGGGGTCTGTCAATTTATCGTAGGAGCTGCAAAAAACAAAGCGGCCACAGGTCAGGTTCCGTCTGTTGGATTTTATCAGACCGCTATTTCGCCTCATTCACCTCGAAGCTTGAGTTCCTGAAGCCGACAAGTACGGATCATGTTCCTAATTACTTGAGGGTAGGTTTGCTTGCTTGCCTTGGTCCATTTGCATCGCACAAACATGAACAAATGAAGGGGCGCACTCTTAGCAGTTTCATTGGGTCCCCGTATATTAGTCACGTGAAACGTAACTTCTTGGATTACAGAACTGTCAGCTGACCTTTGATTCGATGATGCTTACAACTACAAGGCAAAGTGACTTGGAACCTTGTGGCATGTGGCCAAGGCTTTTTTTGGTTCAAGCAAGACCTACTGGCCTTTTCGAGAGATCAAGCTCGCGTAGCAAGTCCAACATTCAGCCTGGCTTTGGCCGTTTGGAATAACATGACGTTTGCATTTGCCGAATCTAAAAATATTGTTTACTGCACTGTTGTTGGCATGTGTTTTAGAGTTTGTCTGTTTTGTTGGTTCTGTTCATTTTGTAGGGGGCTGCCAAACAAACAAAAAACGATTGTTTGCCAGAATGCTGAGGGTTGGACAGTTTACACAGGTGATGGGCTTGACTGATTTGCTGAGCTGTTCGAGTCACATCAGCAGCTTTGCAGCTTGAGACATCCCGAAAGTCTGATCTTATCCTTTCGCCTCGAGCCAGCCAGGGGCTCAAGACACGGGCAGCTTCCTTTTTTTTCCCAGCATGGGCGGTTTTCCAGCCATGCCTAGGTGTTGCCTGGCGCAACGCTTGCTGTGTGTGTGTGTGTGTCTTTGCCTCCCCCTATGCCGGGCCTGTGCAGAAGGCCAGGAGATTCGCAGCTCCCACCGCTGGCGCGCTTGCGTGAAGAACAGCGAGAGGTGTGATCAGAACGGCGACGGGCGCAAGGGTTGCTGCAAGGCCGGCTACGAGGCACGGCGACGGGCTCCGTTGCGAAGTGGACAAAGAGACACAGGGTCCCCCAACCCCCTGCGCAAGTTCTCAGAGCCAGTCAGGTTTCTGCGTGGATTATGGATTGCTGCGTAAATCAGATCAGGCTTGGAATGCCGTTAGGCGTTGTAAGGTCGGACTCAGCTGCCCTGGCCAGGTTGACAGCGAGGATGAGTGCGTGACATGCCCCCCAACGTCAGTGAACGTGACCATTCCCTACAAATGCGTCGCTGCCATGGTCGTTGCCTCTGGCGCCAGCGTTCTCGGCGCGCCCGTGATCCTTTCAGCTGCCGGCTTCACATCCGCAGGCATTGCAGGCGGCTCGCTTGCAGCGCTGTGGCAGAGCACCATGGCGACCATCTCCAGCGGCAGCCTGTTCGCCCTTTTGCAGAAGATTCCCGGACCTCCAGTGGCGCCCTTTTTTCTTTGTTTAACTGAGTTTCCCTTGAACGTGCTGGCACTCAGCCCAAGAGAAGGGTGCCCTCACTTCCCATGGAATTGCACTCTGAGGATTGCGATGGCTGGGCTCAGCTTCAGTCAGGGCCTCACCCTCAGCGGGACCGTGGGTGCTGCAGCCTTGCTGTTCTGCAGGGAAGTTAACAAGCTCTGCGGTGGCTGCATCGGCGATCTGTGACGCAGCAGGCCCAAAAAGAAGCGGCTTGCAGCTGGAGGCGCAGTTCTTGCAACCCGGTCTGATTTGGCACCGGCGTGGTTGGTCACTACTGCCATTGGTAAAGCCCTGTGAGCTGACACGGTTGAAAAGGGGCCCCAGTAGCCCAAGTCCCCAAACGTGGAGATTATCTTGTCATGGAACCCCCGGTAGCTCCCCATCCTTTCATCCGCCGTGTTTCCGTTGAGAACGACACTCGTGCATTGACCAGGATGTTTTTACCTTTTGGTTTATGAAGATCTCATGGAGCACCAGAAGCCAGGTCAGGATGGCCTAAGGTCCAAGGCCCGAGGTCTGAGGGACATATTTTGAGTTGAATTCCCCGAGCTCCATCGATATCGGCCCCTTCGGTTTGGCTTGCAATGCTTGCTCCTTGGGGAGGAAATCCATGGAACGACCGTGCCAAAGCGTAAGCCCTGGCCGGTGCCAAAATTGGGGCACCGCCAAGTTCTTTTGCGATCCCTGCTAATGATGTCAACAAGTTAAACAGAAGTTGTCGGGCTTTCTCTTCCGAAAGGCTACAACCTAAAACTGCCATCCATCGGACCCGAAGGGTGAGCCCTGCTCTCGCGCCACCACGCAAATCCTCGATTCCAGGACTTTTGGGAAAGATATTTGGAGTCTATGGACATTCTCCGCGACCGTTCTGAACGTACCGTATGCCGGGGCGCCCGGTGGCACCTGAAGCTGGTTCAGACGCGGAAGGCGGTTGGCGGGTTGGATGCAAGCCACTAGCTGAGGGTTACCCTGAAACACAAGCCCGAAGCGGGCATATACGATGGGCGCATTCACAAACCTTGCGGGTTTACTGTAGGGAAAAGAGGGGGGCTGGCTTCTCCAGTGAAGATATGCCCTCTAAAATGGTCCCCCCTCAAAAAATGGCTGCTGGCCGCACCCCGGTCGCCCAAGTTCTCAAACATGAGTGTTTCTCCACATTGGCATTTCAGGTGGTGAGTTTCCATACTGGTTCCCCTTGACCTTCAAACCGGTGCTTCCCTTGTTCGGCGAGGCCGCATCTATGACTCCTTCGGCGTTCCTCGCGCGCCTCGCGCGCGGAGGTCGGCTGACGCTTCTGCGGGGCGAGAACATGTCCTCCCCCACGGCCTGGGCGCGTTTGCTGCAGAGGCCGCGGCCCGACTTTATCGAGGCGGCAACGCGGCCGTCTGTTGATCTCATATGAGCCACGTGCTCAAAACACGTGTAGAAGGTTAGTAAGGGCCAATGTTAACCATATATAGCTGCCGCCTTCTTAATTCTGTACATGGTTCTGGGTAGACCATTTTAATACCGGGTTTTGAGAATGACTCATATGAAGCAACCCCAGTTCAGTAACAGGTGTTCCCCTTCAAAAGTGGTCTGAATCCCCACTAAAGCCAGGGACACACACACACACCTCCATATTAATAAACTGAGGTTGATTAATATGGGGCCACGTTAGATAATGTCGACCCACGGATGAATAAGCCTGCCCTATTGAGAGTGTGCACGAAATTCGCCCGCACCACGAAAATAAACCACGCTTAAAATCCATGGTTTGCTGGTATTTACAGCGGAGTCATCATACGCATCATAGGGGTTTTTAGGTGGTGCAGGATTTTGTCCACCCAGTATTGATGGGGAGTGTTCCCTCCCAAAGTGATGAACCCTGCAAACAGTGACACCCACGGTCAACATCAACTGGTTTATCAATCTGAGTCAAGGAGTAGTGACTGGTCCATAGGTTTCCGTATTTTGGGAGATCCGCCTTGCTTGCTTGTGGGGTTGGTTCCACACGCATGCTCATTCAAAACGTATGTCAGGCAACCCTGAATTTGACGGTTTGGCTTGTTCTTGTAGAGGGTAAATGGGAAACCACCCCGGACCACCACCAAACCACCGAAATTCGGCTCCAGACCACCAAGCAGAGGGAGGCTGAATTGAGTCAGTGGTCATTGACCAATGAACCTCCCCTTGCTATTACAACTAGGTTCCCCAATTGCAGGTTCCCCAACTAAAGTAAAGGTGAAACCTTCAGGGTCAGTTTAGAAGTCACATCGAGGTGCTCCGCTCTTGACTTGGTGCAGCCTGGTCTGGAGGTTCATTCGGTGGTCTTGTAGGCCTGAGCTCCTGGAATCTAAACACTTTTTGGGTTTGGACCATTTTGGTGGCAAGTAAAAAGTTTGGTGAGAAGTTCGACACTTCACTGCCGGTCAAATTGGACCGAGCCAGAAGGATGGTAGTCCCACATGGTGCGTGTGTCTGTTGTTTTGTAAGGGGGTGGTTTCCTTCATTCTTTGGGAAACCAAGGGGAAACACCATTTGAAGCTTCCCTAGTGAGACGCACATTCATGGGGACGTCACAAGTGGCTACATGAATTTGCGGGTCCGAGACCCGTCCCAAATAGAGTCCATATGCTTCCCGCAGCGTCGCCATGGTGTCCTTTTTGGTTGGTGTGCACCACCAGGTAAATAGGGCCATTTAATTTCGAGCAATCCAACCAGAAAGGTTTCCTGTTGGATGTTCAGCCAACTTAGTAAGTAGCAGGGCAAAACCATGCTTACTAGATGATCACCCGAGTTACACGAGTTCGCACCGTGGTTACCTACTTACCCGACGTTGGCTTTTCACATCCAAGCCTTTTCGGCGGTAGAGGTGAAGGGCGTGACCATGGCGGGGCTCTTTCGGAAGAACGGCTTGGGCACTATGTGCCTCGTCCGGCAGCTTTGAGGTTTGGGCGTATCTCGCTTCACCGCCGTTCACCGCCCTTGGCAAGTGGTTTGGTTCGTTTGTCTGTTGGTTCTGTTCATTTTCACTAGCTTCCAAGAACATGTTTGATTTTCCCATGCTGGTTTTAAAAGGAATTTATCACTACTGGATTTTTATTTTATTTTTTTCCGGGGGTCTTAACCAAATGGAAGGTATGGGGCTGCAAAAAAACAATGTTTTTGCTACCATACCAAGGGTTGTGAGCTTGTTTTCAGGGTAATTCTTAGGGCTGCTGTGTACCTGGAACCCCATATGCGACGTTGTTTTTCTGTCCATACGGCTAGGGCCACAAAACAATGGTCATAGGGTCATTTACGGCTTTTTGTTAACAAGTTGTCGAAAAATACGAGTTTCATACGAAGAACGATCCAAATATGGGTTCCGTCCGAACCAAACAAAAAAAATGCGGCTTTCCAGGTAGAGAAAGCAAAGGGATGAACCCATTCAGTTTGGTGGTCTCCCAATTTTGAGACGAACCCATGTTATTTGCTTGCAAACCGGGCTGTGCTTTTCTTCCAGGGAGGGGGGCATTGTATTGACTGATCAAAGGGCATGGCCGTTCTCATTCTCAATTTTGGCGTGGTGTGTGTGTGTGTGTTTTTCTTTTTGTGGGGGGGTTGCAACATGGTACAAACTTTTGTTTCATCAATTTCTGGAATGCAATGTATTGCAAAATTAGTGCTTGAATGGCCTGACTCGAACTATGCCAAGGGTTTGGGTTTGCGTGGGGCCTGGGAGCTACTGACCACAAGTTGCCTGAAAAAAGACCAGTAAGAGGTATGGGCACATCAAGATGGCGAATGGCTTTTGAGCATGTTGTGGTTGTTGGCTGTTGTCATCGGTGGAGGTTGCACGGCCGATGTCAGGAATATGCCCACGCATATGGAGGTCAGAGAGTTCGCCTCCGCCGTGGTGAAGGAGTTGCCGGGGTATCTCGGTTGTCCAAAGGCAACCGTTTGAGCTTTTTGGTCTTCCTGTTTTGGCCTATGCTTAGTCAGATCCCAAGTTAACCCCTAGGGTTCAGCCCCCATGAAATAAATGGCTGACCCAATTCGGAGGATGAACTTCCTGAACACAAAACAATGAAGACGATCCTTCACCCCCTTTGATCTAATCGTGGCAATTGAACCCCAAGTGGGAAAGGATAGCTTCTAATTTGTCGGCGCTCAGTTTCACGACTTGGCGCTTTCCCATTTGAGTCATGGCCCCAAGAGGTGTTCAATCCCATCCGCAAGTGAGGTATAGCCTGGCCTGTGAGCATGAGCACTCGAACTCAGTGCTCATAGCTTCCGCGCCTCGTCTTTGAGAAAAAAACACGCCCCAGGCGGTAAGCTGGTGCACCGGTGCACCTCCACCGGCGGCCCAGCCTTGGTGGAAACGGTGCTGGTCGCCTCCGTTTGAGCGGGACATTTTGCCTCCTGGAATAAACCATCGCATATTTCCAGCGATAGACTTCCATTAAAATGGGGTTTGGGCCATTCCGGTGGTAACTAGAGAAATGTTGGGACTTGTTTGGGCCAATCTTCTCGGGATGTGATCCTTTGCCGTGGCGCTTGCACAAGCAAAACGAACCCCAACGTTTGCCAGTGGTGCCCTTTTTCCATTTTTTTTTGGGGTAAGGGTTCCCCTTTAAACTCATCCAACAAAAAGGGTGCCAAGGGTGCCATTTTTGCCATGGCCACTGGGCATTTGAGCCAAAAGCGATTCATGCAGACCACTCCACACCAACGAGTTTCGTTTGGTGGCCTTTGATGGGTGGCGGCCAGGGCCACAAACTTTTTGCGGTTTCCGCATGCGGCGCCCTGCCCGTTTGTATTCGGGTTGCTTTCCGGGCATCCACCATTGCTGGACAACCTGCTTCTCGAAACGAGATTGGTTTTCAACTGCTGGGCACCGAGGCAACTTGATCCGTACTGGACAGGGGGCTGGGTGGACTTGCAAAGTGCTTAAGCTTACTTTTCTCTCACAACCATGACATGACACCTCTGAAAATTCCCGGAAGATCAGTTTCCTTCCAAAACCCATTGTCAGGTGCAATGTGAGTGGGAGGGAGGGTCTACTTCTCGACGACGACGATGTTCATTTAAAGAGCCAACCCTCTGAGGTTTAGCAAGGCGAAGATGGCGACTCAGGGGTATCAGGGCAAGGGCTGCATCAAAATTGCAAGTTCCCCCCTCTTGGCCTTCCCTACAAATGAAACTGGAGGGAGGCACCCCTGTTTTTTTGGGTGTTTTAGCTGTCCAGTGCCATTTTCAATTTGTTGGGGGTAGACTTGACACATGAAATTGGGGAACCGCTCACTGGATTTGGTGGAGAGATCCCCCACTTAAATATGGAATTGGGGGAGGGGTGTAACCCCTGGAATTCCATTTATGGTTCCATTTCCTTTATAAGGGGAAGATGACTGGAATTGACCCCACCCCCCTCCCCCTGGAGGAATTGGGGGGACGTGGGCTCGCCGCCTGCGCCGAGGATCGGTTCCGCGGCAGCCATGGCTGGCGGACGTGGATCGACTTCGAGGGCTTCGCGGACTCGTGGGACTCGGCGGCCGTGAAGCTCAGCGGCATTCAAGTCCACGTGTAGCTCAGTGGTCCAAAGCGAATCCACCTTTTGACCTTTTGGTGTTCCAAGTTTGGTCCATTTTTAGTAGAGGTGCCAAAAGGCTAACCTTTTAGTTCCAGGTCTCTTGGGACATGTGGGTGTGGCTCAAAATTAGACACGGGGGGGCAAACCGCAGGTTTTGGCAACCATATGTCCACTTATCAGGGTTCCATTTGGGTACCGGATTTTTTAGCCACAGCCATGTGTGTAATTGTCAAGGTGTTTTGTTGGGTAAAAAACGAAGGAACACATAGCAGCTTTTGTTGGGGGGTGGGGGGGTTTAAGGGAACCTAAAGGGAAAAGCACTTCTTCTTCTTCTTCTTCTTCTCCTCCTCCTCCTCCTCCTCCTCCTCCTCCTCCTCCTCCTCCTCATCCTTCTTCTTTTTGGGGGGACTATTTGTTGGGCATGACTGCCACGAAATAGCTGTTATTAAGCAACGAGTTGTTATTAGTTGTGGTGATTGATTTGTTTGTTTGGAACCAGTCATGGGATGAATTCAGGAAGGGTAACCCCAGCTGTGAGAGAGAAACCCCAGAAGAGGGCGCCGCCGCTGGGCGACGGTGTCGTAGTGTGCTTCATTCTTGTCGCGCCCTCCGTGCCGCAAGAGGGAAGCACAGCTCAACTTGGCCTGCCTAGCCCTAGTTGGGTAATTTGGAGCCACACCCTCATTTGTAAGACAACAACTAGGTCCCCCCGCTAGGTGCCCTTTCTCACCCCTTTTTTGCGTGAGGGTTCCCCTACTAGAACAGACAAAAAGGGAAAAAGTTTGTACCCTTAGTCTAACCTCTCAAATCCGGAGGACCCACACAAGTTGGACAGAAGGACCTGAAGGACGTCATAGGCAGCTTTCCAGTTCCCAGTTGGACCAGGCATGACACCTCTATCCATGTGGCTGTGGAGATGTGCAGCCGGAATTGAAAATTAGAAGGCAGAAGGTTGTAGGATCCCCCATTCCAAAAAACTGCAATCGGGGGGGGGCCTAGGAACCCCGTGCATTTTTGTTCCATGCATGCATTGGCACTTGGGATGTTTTCGGCGTGCACTGGGCACTTAGGATGCCCACTCAGCCGTGCCTCACCGTCACAGAACTACATTTGCCAATGAGAGCGGGGGCCACTTTTGGGGAGGCCTTGGTTTGCCTAAGCGTGCTTGGGCTGAACAAAAGGCGCACCCGACTTGTGTTCTATGCTTTTTGCCAGGGGACTCCAGCAAATGGAAGCTTTCTGTGTCTGATTGAGTCTATATTTCCGTCCCGCAATTACGCTCCTTGGGAATCCGAATCAAACAAGCGACAACTCGGTGCTCCGAAGGATTTTTTCACCGTGCGACGCGATGCCGTTTGCACCAGTTGCAACGCGTTGCGGTGCTGAGTGCCCTCCCGTTTTGTGGTTGATTTTCTTGGTGGCTCCCAGCCATCCCCTTAGCTTTTTAGCCTTTTAGTGTTTAATGGTAGTTTCCATTTAGCCCACTAAAAGTTAAACTTTTAGCGGGGGATCTGAGGACAGCTGAGTTTTTGTTTCCCTAGCTGAAAGCCTTTGGGGTCCTTGCCCAAAGGATCTGGGGTGGTTTCAAGGAGAGTTTTGTGCCTTTGAACAGCCCAATAATTCTAGGATCGGTTCAAAATTTCCAGACCAATCCCAACCACGAATCAGGGGTTGCCTGAAACTGGGACATCTTCATTGACTCGAAATGGAAGGGGGAAAGCCAAGAACTTCTTCGGGCCGGAAAGCTGAACAACTCGCTGGCTCTCCGTACTTGGATGTTCGGGAAAGATATTAAGTGGTTAGCCACCTAGGTTGCAACCCACTCATGACAGGTACCTATAAGTAGGCAGCATTCCAGGTTACCAACAACTTGCCAAGCTAGCCCAGCCGAACACCCAAGTAAGGAATCAAAGAGGGGGTTGACAAGCCCACGCCGAAGGGAACCACAATGGATGCTTGTTGAGGGGTCAATCCCACCTCCCCCGAGCACCAGAATCAAAAAGAACAAAAAACACATACGGCTTATTGCGACCTCACGTTCACCCAGTATGGGACATGTAAAGGGGAACGGAACTTATGAGAGGGGTACATAGCTGGCAATTCAAGGCTGACTCCGTGAGTAATCGTGGTAAAGCCCGAAAACGGCTCCCCCAAAAAGTAACTACTCCAGCAAAGGGGGCAAGGCATGCTCTTCCCGGATGGTTGGGCGTTTCTCGGGTGTGAGGCTTGTACTTGCTTGACTTGACGAACCCGAACTCTTGCGTCTTTTTTGGTTAGTCCCAAGTAGTTTCGTGGAACCCTCCGGCTACGAAACTGTGTTTTTGCAATACTTGGATGGTCAGCCCACTTAGTATGTTGGTCATAACCATGGTTATAACCGGGTAACTGGGGTTATTCGCCCTTACAATCATGGTTATAACGTAATTGCTAAGAACACCCAAGTAGTTATTATGGAATGGGATTGGCCAGTCGAGTTTGAACAGCCCCTCTTTGAATCAGCTCCTCGAGGTTCGTTTCGACTTTCGTCACTTTAAATGGTCCATTTGTGTGGTAAACTTTGCTGTTGTTGGCATGTTTTGTGTTTTAGCTTTTTAGGTTCTGTCCATTTTACCCTTGACTGCCACAAAGAGTTAAGTCAGGGCACTCCCTGAGCTCCTGGGCTTAAACCTGGGAAGACAGCTCAGGAAAAACCACGTCTTTGAAGCTTGGACCTCACTCCTGGAGTTCCGTTTCGGACTTTAAACTTGGTGGGTCTGGACCATCCGGCCATCCGGTCCCGTAGCTTTTTAGCTTTTCAGTGTTTAGTGGTTGGATTTCCATTTGGCCCACTAAAAGTTAGACTTCTAGCATTTTCTAGGTCCCCCAGCTAGGTGCCCGCTCTTTCACCCCTTTTTTGTTTGGTTGGGAGGGTTCCCCTACCAAAATAGACGTTCTGAAAAAAGCTGGTACCCTTATTCTAACCTCTCTACTGGCGGACCTAGATTTTAGTGTCAAAAAAAGGAAGTTTCTCGACTTTTTCTGGCCAATCTTACTGGGGAAGTGAGTTCTTGCGGTTTAATGTAGTGAGGTTTAATGGAGTGAGTCTGACTCAATTCGCCGGCCGAAAAATCGGAGCTCCGAGGACGGCGTTGGACTACACCGCGGCGACTCCTTCCTGGGCTCCTTGGTCAAGATCGGCTTTTGGGTTCAAACCGATGGGTACCATTGGTTGTAACCCAAAGCTTTTGTCAAACCCAGTTGTTCCCCCTTCCGCCGGGCTGCTCATTAAGGTGCAAAATGTTGGATCCACTTTCCAACAGGAGTTATGGGCCAAGATTTGGCTGTGGTTTAATTGCCAATGGTACCATTTTGGGGTAGCTGCACCTCCGGGTAGATGAAGGGTCAGGGGCAGCCCCAGCCAGAAATAGTTGCGGCCGCCTTCTTATTTCTTTGCATGGCTTTGGGTAGACCATTTTACTAGCGGGTTTTGATTGTGACTCATTTTGAGATGGCCTTCAAAGGTTAAGACGTGTGATTTCCGGGTCATGATCACCCCCTTGCCTTTTTGGGTGCCCATTTCTGAGTCATGGCCTTGAACGGTGATCACCTTGTATTTCTGGGTCATCCCCACCCCACAAAAAAAAACAAGGAATTTGCTTCCGGACCCCTCCACCCTCCAGTTTGGGGGAGTTGACCTCGACTTTTTTTTTCTTCCAATCCGCAGAAGTGTGCTGATAAGCATGCTGAAAAAGGGCGTCCCCTTGAACCCCCTCCCCCCCCCAACCTCCCCCCCCTAACCTCACCCACACCCCCCCCCCCACCAACCCCCCCCCCGCCAAACCAAACCCCCCCTCCCCCCTTCCCCCCTTGACCAATATAGGCCGCTTGGTGCGTGCCTGAGGCCCTGCTGGGCTCGGAGGCGCTGGGCTTCGCGCCCGGCGAGGTGCGGCAGAGGCGCGCGCGGAGTCGGCCCATCTGGTCCGAGGAGAAGGCGCGGGGGGATGGCGAGGGGGGGGGGGGGTTTGGGGGGGAGGTGGGGAGGGGGAGGTGGGGCTATGATGGATGGACACTGAACGTGTCTATTTTGCCAACTCCATTTAAAATAGACTGTAGGGAGTGGGGGGGGGGAGCAAGGGGAGGGGGAGGAATTGAGGGAGTGGGTGGCTCCGATTTTTTGTCCGATTAATAGAGAAACACTGTGCGGGTCTTGTTTGCCACCACTTTCATTTAGGGTTTTGCTTGATACGGTTTTGTCGCTTGGGGTCTGGACCATTGTAGCGTAAACAAAAAAGTCAGACATTTTATGGCAAATCCACTCGGGAAGTGAGCTTTTGAGTTTGAAGAAGGCAAGCCATTTTGTGAGATCCCCCAGGGAAGCTGAGTTGTGGGTTTCCCACTGTCCCACCCGCCGAGCTTTCCGGCATGCGTTTTGTCGCTTGCAGGAGCAATGGCGCGCGGCGGACGCGAAAAGTTAAACGCAGCCGCCCGGGGGCAAGGCATTTGCGGCCAGGGGGCCAGGGGTGTGTTTTTGTTTGCCACCTTTTGTGAGAAAATTGGCGACCACCTCAAAAAGGAATCCTTTACTACGAGGGAGTCGATCATTGTTCCACAGGCGGCAAAAAGACCCCCCTGTTTGCGGCCAAGTCTTGTCTCTTACGCCGCATTCGGTACGTTCCCCGCGAAATATGAACAGCAGCAAACTACTAAACAACATGCCAAGGTGCAAGTGAAGAAGGTGCTCATGAGGAGGGGGGCTGCAGCTTCACATTTTGCTGCCCCTATGGCCCGCAAACAAGTGATGCCATGATTTCGGCCTGAAAAAGTTTTGAGGCTCGAGTTGCTCCGCCTCATGGCCAAAGCCATGTTATTGGTTGGCTTCCTCTTGGCTCTTGTTGGATCTTTAGCTCACTTTGCCTTTTGGTTTCCCTGATTTGGTCTATGTTCAGTCAAGGTTCAAAAAGGCTGACCTTGTATTTCCAGGCGCTTTGGGGTGAGTTAGGCCTTGACTTCTGGTGGAAAAGTCATGCTTGTTTCACGCTCGAAATAGCACACAGCGAAATCTGGTATCTAATTTTATTCGTGGTTTGGATTGGTGGTTTGGAAAATGAACCCCTGGTTCTTGTAGAAGACCACCCCTAACACCACCAATCCATAGCACCCTTCTTGAGAAAGAGTAATTATTTCCACGGTTTCTGGGCATGATCAAAGTCAGAAATGGAGTTTGTTTCCATTTAGCCCACCACTGAACGGGGGTGACTTTGACTATGGTAAAGTAATGAGGCCAGTTGAGGGAAGCTGAGCTCAACTCTTTCAGCGACCGGCGCTGTTGCTCTCCTGGCCACTTTCTACCCAGGTCGATGGAGCAGCGAGAGGGGTCCCGACGGCGAGATGGATTCACAAGGCTCTCACTGCACAATGTGTGTGTGTGTGCGGATCTCTGCATGGTGTTTCTCTGTGTGTTTTGTTTTTCTTTGTTTGGGTGTGTGTGTGTGTTTCTTGACTTGTCTGCATTTCAATGTGCGTCTCCCTCTCTCTTCCTCTCTCTTTGTCTTCGTGTGCGTGTGTGTTTGGTTGCGTGTCTTTTAGGGTGTGACTCTGTGCGTATGTCTTTTTCCCTCTCTGTCTCTGATGAGCACCTCAGCGCGGGGTACATTGACGGAAGCAACCACCCCCAGTGGATCATGCCATACAGGGGCCCCCTTTAAGTTAAGGGGCTACCGCTGAAACTTGATTGCTGTGGACCCCTCTGCAAAAGGTTCAACTTGTTTGGGTTCGACGGAAATCCGAACTGTTTCCCAAAACGTTAAAGTCCAAAGACCCAACCAAATAGCCAAAATGAAATGGTTTCCTTTCGGACAAATCGCAAATGACTGGCACCCAATCTTCCATTTGCTTCAGCCCCTGGAAAAATATAAAACATGTCCAGTAGTGAACAGGGGTGAATAACACATATTCTTAAACAAATGGAAGCAATTGAATGAACCTATGCACCTTCATGAGCCAGGTGGCAAGATGGCTAAGTAAGCCTTAGATGATATGTGGGCCGGAGACTTGTCCGAAAAGGCCCGTTTGATATAGTTTCATACGTGGGGGCAAGGGGCTACAAAAAGTACCCATACATGTTCCGTTTAGTTTGTGTTGCATGTTCCCACCAACTGACACATGGATAATCACGGGCAACAAACATGCACCTTGGGAACCTTCCACCCTTTCGTGAAACCGACTTCGATGCGTTCCAAAATCAGGTTCCTTCCCGGTTTACGTGTTGGGTTTGAAGGGAATCCATCACTAGCTTGTTTTTATCCAGGGGCTTGAGCAAGCAAATGGAAGAGTAGCAACCAGTGTCCGTGGCACCCCCAGTCTCCACGCATTCGTCCCCATGGGCCCTTCTGATCATTCTTGCCAGGGCCGATCCGCGATCGGTTCGCAGTCTGACGACCGCGCTCGGAAGCGAAGCAACCATAATTCTGCTCGGAAGTCAAAAAGCGGAGCAGCAGGCTGGGGCATGGGGCCATTTGACCTTGGGATTGTGACCAGTTGCTGGATTTGCAACCGGTTGTGGCTGGAGAGCTCCTGCATCATCAGCTATGGAGGAGGCAGCTCAGTTTCTGGTGACATGCTTGAAAGGGTGTTTGTTCACCTTCATATTCCAAGTGAACCATCAACTGCATTGTTGCGGCCTGCAACAGGAGGGCTTGTCCTATTTCCCGGGCTTTGAAAGGACATGCTCTAGGTCGGTGCCCGCTCTTTCACCCCTTTGGTTGGGAGGGCGAAGCCCCTACTAAAATCGACTACACACAAAAAAAAAAGTGCCTTTATTCCATCCTCTCTACTGGAGGACCTAGCTTTTATAGATCATCTCGGTGCGTGTTGGCGATTGGGTCGCGCCTGATGTCGGTCAACACACGCTTGGTGCTTGCAAGCTCTGCTCTCTAGAAATGGCTCGAAATTCAGGACCCACCGCTGATTTTGGCAGTCTTTCACAGACTGGGTTCGCAGTCCGCGGTATGTTTGAGCCAATTGTGGAACCCCATTTGGATGGCGTTTAAAGGAGAGGGTTTTAAAGGGAAGGCAAAGCTTGCCGATTCGGGGATAAAGGGAACTCACAATGTTGGGCCATGGGGACCCATTCGTTTTTTTGCCACAGGTTCGAAGTTGTGAGTAGTCTATGGCCCCATTTTGGAGGGACATGGGGGAGTCACGCAACTTCTCTCACACACAGCAATGTCATCATTACTGAACCGGGTTGTGAAATCAGAAGGTTTATCCAACCACTTCTGTGATTCTTTTGGGAATCCCCCTTTCTATGAACAATTTAGTCTTTGGGAAGCCCTTTCTGTTGTATCATAGTGGTCAGTCCCCACGGCCCTGTTGCCGAATCTTAGGCGTGCCCTTTCTGTCGATGTCTTGGCTAGGGGCATTCTCATTGGAAGCGGCCGGCTTCCTGCTTGAGGCGCCGGTGAAAATGTGCGTTGCCAGAAGGCGCATTCCAGCCTTTCCAGCTGTTCCAAACCAATTCCAGCCTTCCACCTCACCCAACCGAGACCCTGACTACAAGCTCAAACCCAACACCCAAACATCAAGAGAAACAAACAGAGCACACGCTCTCACCACCACCCCCAAGCAGAAAGGCAGAAAAAACAGGGGAGAAACAAAAAAAACACCCGCCCCCAAACAGAAAAACGAGAAGAAGAAAACAACCACACACCCAGCCGTTTCTTACGCGCCGTTTTTTACGCGCCGCTCACGGCGAAATTTCCGCCATGGCGAGCCCTGAGAAGCCGCCGAAGCGGAAGCGCGTGGACTTGTCCAAGTATGCCGACCTGGAGGCGGAAGAGGTGGGCGGCAGTGTCGAGGAAGATGAGGCAGAGCCAGACGAGGACCGCGTTTTTTTTCTTCTTTTTTTTTTCTTTCTTTGTTTTTAAAGAAAGATCACCGGCCCATCTTAAATTTCAGGGCTTAGAAGATACATGTGCAACCATTTGAAACATGTTGCGTTTTCCAGCAAAATATGGGGAAAGCACCATTGACAAGGCAATGTTCAGGTGTATAATGTAAGGATCCCTGCTGAAAAAAAAAGGAGGAGGATATATTTGACAATTTACTGCAATCAGACCCCACCCCAACAAAAATGTAACTCAAGCCAGTTGCCAGTTTAGTGGAGTCCCCCGTTCGAAGTCTCAACATTTGGTTGGGGCGTTTCACAATCGAGTCAACCCCACCAAATAAAACAATCAAAACAATCAACTTTGTTTGTTAGTTGTTTGTTTGTTTGTTTGGTTGGTTTGTTTGTTTGGTTGGTTTGTTTGTTTGTTTTGTTTGTTTTGTTTTGTTTTGTTTGTTTGTGTGCTTGAAATGAATTGTTGGCGTTTCCCTATCTGACACTGAAAAAAACCCTCGCATCTGGGGCTCGCGCGATGACGGTTTTGGGCGAATTGGAACCGCACTGCGAATTGGGGGAGGGGGTGACCCCTGGATTTATATATATATATATATTTAAACCATTTCCTTTGTAAGGGGAAGACTAGATAACTGGAATTGGGGACCCCCCACCCCCCTCCCCCTACCATAGGGGGGAGTGCGCAGAGTATCTGGCGAGGATCTCATCGACGACACGGGGGTCAAAGACTCGGACGCCAGCCGGTCCAAGCTGCGGAAGAAGATGAACCTCCAAAAAGAGATCCAGGAGACTGGAAACCTCAGTTGATCAGTGGATTCCGCCATTTCTTGGTTCCTTTTTTTTTTTTGGAAGAGTCTTTTAAACTCAACCAACCCAAAGGATGCCTTTTCTTTCCACCACTGGGTTCCCAGCGATCCCCTTTGGGCCTTTTGAGGGTTTAATCTGGGCTGTTCAAAGGTAATCCTTAATCCTTACCTGGGGTTACGCAAGGGGTCCCCTTTGTAGTGGCTTTCCTATATGGATTATGGATTAGGATTGGCCAACCCTGCCCAGCTAGTGGTAGTTTCCATTTAACCCACCACAAGTTGTCGACTAACCGGGGGAATAACCTCAGTTGATCAGCGGGTTCCGCCATTTCTTTTTCCAGCTTTTTATTGGGAAGGGCCTTTTAAACTCAACCAACCCAAAAACTGGAAACCTTTCCCAGTTGATCAGTGGATCCCGCCCTTTGTTCATCTTGTTTTGGGCAGAATCTTTTGAACTCAACCAACCCAAGCAAGGATGCCTTTTGTCGAAGGGCCTTTTCAAACCCAGTTGCACCAGTTACAGCCATGGCTATCATGCTGGTTCGCGGGGAAAGAGGAAGGGTCAGTCCCACAAAACCCAACCAAATGAATCCCAGCCAGCCCAACCCAAGCAAGGCCACTGGGCAGAGCTTTTGGAAGCCAGTCTCACTCCCGTTGGCAGGGCCCCCAGCAATTGGTGCCCTTTCTCTTTTACCCCTTTTTTGGGTTGGGAGGGTTCCCCTAAAAAAATAGACGTCCTGAAAAAAGTTGGTACACACTTATTCCAACCTCTGAAATCTGGAGGACCTAGTTAGGGTTCCTTGAAGGTCCTGACCCCCCTTGACTCCACCAAAAACCACTCCACAAACCCCCAAAATGAAACCACCCCCCCCCTCCCCCCCTTTTCAAAACACGTGTTGATATAGTGCGGGCGGCTCTGGAGGCCCCAGCTTTTGCTGTTTTGTTTTAGTGTTTTTCTTATTGAGTTTTTTTACTCCCGAGAAAGCAGCATAGCCGCCCTTTCTGATTTTTTGAGCCCCCCAAAATGAAACCACCCCGCCCCCCCCCTCCTTAAAAAAACCTGTTGAGATTGATTTTGTTGAGGGTTCCTTACAAAAGCCTCAGAGCCCCCCCCCTCCCCCCCTCCCCCGCAAATGCCCCCCTGAAAATCCAACCCCGCGCGCCAGGAGATCGAGAAGGAGATGGCCTCCCGAGGGCCCCTCGCTGGCGCCGCGCGCCTCTTCAGCTCCGCCAAGCCCCTCGCAAGAAATACGAAGAAAAACACGGCCTGACGGCTTGAGCAAGGGTCACTAGCAACTCGTGCTTGTTGGTTTGTTTGGTTGTGTGTGTTTGTGTGTTGTTTGTTGGTTTGTTTGTTTGTTTGTTTGTGTGTTTGTTTGTTTGTTTGTTTGGTTGTTTGTTTGTTTGTTTGTTTGTTTGTTTGTTTTGTTTTGTTTGTTTGTTTGTTTGTTTGTTTGTTTGTTTGTTTGTTTGTTTGTGTGTTTGTTTGTTTGTTTGCTTGCTTGCTTGTTTGTTTGGTTGTGTGTTTGTTTGGCTGTTTGTTTGTTTGTTTGTTTGTTTGTTTGTTTGTTTGCGTGTTTGATTGTTTCTTTGTGTGTTTGTTTGTTGTTGTTTTTGATTTGTTGTTGTTTTATGTTGCTTGATTTTGTGTCATTGCTTGATTTTGTTTGTTTGTTTGTTTGTTTGCTTGTGTGTTTTGTGTTTGTTTTTTTGTTTGTGTGTTTTGTTTGCTTTGTTTGTTTGTTTGGTTGTTTGTGGTTGTTGGTTTGTTGTTGTTGCTTTGCTTGATTTTGTGCGATTGCTTACTTGTGTGTTTGGTTCATTGGTTGGTTGCCTGATTGACTGACTGACTGACTGACAGGCTGACTCATTGTTGTTTTTGTTGTTTTTGTTTAGCTTGATTTTGTTTGTTTGCTTGCTCGAGTGCTTGACTTGCTTGACTTGCTTGACTTGCTTGCTTGCTTGCTTGCTTGGTTGCTTGGTTGCTTGGTTGCTTGGTTGGTTGCTTGGTTGCTTGGTTGCTTGGTTGCTTGGTTGCTTGGTTGCTTGGTTGCTTGGTTGTTTGGTTGTTTGGCTGGTCGGTTGTTTGTGTGTGTGTGTTGGTTTTGGTAGTTGTTGTGTTGCCTGATGTTTTTTGTTTGTTATTTGCTGGCTTGCTGGCTTGCTGGCTTGTTTGTTTGATTGCTTGTTTGTTTGTTTGCTTGCTTGCTTGTTTGTTTGCTTGTTTGTTTTGTTTGTTGTTGTGTTTGCTTCATTTTGTGTGTTTGCTTGCTCGCGTGCTTGCTTGTTTGTTTGTTTTTCTTGCCCGCGTTGTTTGTTGTTGTTTTGCTTTGCTCGATTTTATTTTGTTTGTTTGGTTATTGTTTGTTTGTTTGTTTGCTTGCTTGCTTGCTTGTTTGGTTGTTTTTTTGCTGTGTTGGTTTTGTTGTTCTTTTAATTGAACTAGTTGGGTTGGTTGGTTCGCTTTGGTTGCGTTGGGCACCCAACCCAGCTCAACCAAACCAAACCCAAGCAACCAAACCCGACCAACCCATCCAACCCAACCCAACCCAACGTGGGTTGGGTTGTTTGGTTGTTTGGTTGTTTGTTTGTGTTGTTGTTTTGTTGTGTTTGTTTGTGATCCTATTCTGCCATGTTCCCCAATAGTTTCGACGGAAGCTGATCGATGTTCAACCAACGTCAGATGAGTAGAGAGTATGGGGGCCCCCTTTCATGGTCATAACCTAGCAATGGGTCAAAACCCATGGGATCCTATTTTGGGATAGGTGAATTCACCACCCATTTTAGAACCTATTTTAGTGGTTGGATTGAATCGGATGTTCACTGGGGCTACGGGGTTTTGACCCATGGCCACCTGACGTTGGTGGAGCGCCCAAGTTTGAGAGCTATTTTTAACTCCGGTTCAGCTTACCTGGACTCGTGGCTTAAGCGACCCTTCTCAGGGCGAAGCAAAAGTTCTGAAGCCCTTGCTTGGTTTGGAAAGCAAGGGTTCTTCTTTTTTGGAGGGGGGGGCCTTCATTGTTTAGATTTGTTTTACAGCAATTTCCAGAATCCGAACCCTCAGTTGCTTGTGGTCACTGGGTCTGTGTCAAAAATGGGGGGGGGGACCTCAAAAGTTGGAGTTTCCTTTTGGTTTCCCCGCTAAACCAAAGTCGGGGTTTTGGTCTCAGGGGTAGTCCAACTTTAACTAGGTCCCCCAGCAATTGGTGCCTGCTCCTTTTACCCCCTTTTTTGGAAAGGGGAGGGTTCCCCTACTTTAAAAACGACGACAGAAAAAACAACAAAAGTTGGGACCCTTATTCTAACCTCTGCAAATCTGGAGGACCCAGTTTTGGTTTCGCCCGCGAAGCTAAAGCGGACTGGCCCGTGGTTTTCTCTCCAGACTTGCAACTCGGCAGGCTCGATGACATGGAGAGGAGGTTCCAGGCGCACCGATTTTTTCGGCTCAAAGAAGCTCCCGGCCTCCTCCACAAAAGAAGACTCGTTTTTTTGTTTCTTCTTTTTTTTTCTTTCCGGGCCCCCCCGCAAAACAGCCAACCGGTTTTCCTTTGAGCCACCCTTTCGCTCGGGTATTTTCGAGGATGGCACTTAAATGGACCCGATGAAAACAGCACGCCTCGGAGGCGGTTGCCTCTCCACGCAATGTAGAGGGGCTGGCATTGTCCGACACTTTCGAGTTCTCTCACCTTACCCCTAGTTTCACCTTTCCCCAAACTGGCGGTTTGGATTGGCGGTGCGTAAGGGCCAACATCATTACATCGTCCCCCTATGATGTTCTGAATAGTGCCTAAAAGGGACCCCCAAATCATTTGAGCGGAGGGGTTTAGAAGCAAGAAACCAACAACGCATTCGGCCGATTCAAGAACTGCCCCTTCCCGCATCCATTTCCAGAAGTGACAGGTTTCCGCGTTTTTGCAAAGAGTCGGGAGCTCCGAACAAGAAAGCTAAAGAGCAACCAATTCCCTTTTCCGCGCTTTTGAGAAGAACTGGGAGAAACCAATCCCCCGCCCCTCAATTTTTCGGGGGTTGCCCCTCTTGGTGGCTCCCAGCCATCTTCCTTTGGCTTTGAATTGTTTTTGGTCCGGTTTACCGGATTCCGAAATTCACCCACCCAGCCAAACGGGCACATGACCTGCGCTCAAAAACCCTCTGCAAAACATCTGGCCAACAACAACAGCCATCTTCCTTTGGCTTTTGCTTGTTTCTGGTCCGGTTTTACCGATTTCCGACTTTCACCCACCCAACCACAAAGATTTGAGCCGAGGGGTTTGCCCTCGGCAGCCCTCAGAGATGTCAGTCCGTCAGGAGATGGACGAGGCCGCCAAGCGGGGGGAGGACGTCAGCCGCGTGGGCGTGCCGGAGACGGTGCGGCAGACGGTGACGGTGCCCGAGTCCACCGACCCGCGGCTCTGGTGCCTCAAGACCTTCGCCGGGGAGCAGGCGAACCCCATGCCGCGGGGAGTTGTTGTCTGGGGCCTTTGGACTTCTCATTGGCTGAAGTGACTATGTTTTTGCTATAGTTGTCCCTGTTTGGTTTTAAAGGGAATCGATTTCACTGCTGGACATATATGCCATTTGTTGTTGAGGCCACGGTGGATGTTCAGCCAACATGTGTTTTTTGTTGTTTTACTTGCAGTTTCTTTTCGGGCATCCACCGGACCGTACCTGTTGAGGGTCTCCTAAGCTATTTCAGGGTAGACAAATTGTGGAACAGAGACTGAATCTGGAACAGGTTTTCTTTTGGAATTCTTGTGTATTTCCCTGCCTGCTGGCGGAAGTGACCCAAGCTGATTTGTAGCTTTGGTGAGGGTGGCCAGGGGGGGGGGCTGTGGCACAGAGTCTTTGTCATAGGCATCCTTCTTAGGTCAGTTTTTATAGAAGCAGATGGCACTGGTTTAGATTGGTCTAGCGGCCCAGAAATCGGCGACAAGAGGGGGTTTGGGGCAGCTTTCAGGGTGGGTTCAAAAGGGTTCCGGACTGTTGGGGATACCACCTGGGCTTATTCCCCAAACAGTGTGTCTACACTAAGGGGTTCTTACGGTAAGAGAAAAGGCCTTGGTGCCAGATTGAGGTGCCCGCTCTGTCCGCGAGCGTTTTGCGTGGTATTTACCGCAGATTCGTGCTCTTGCTTGATGTCGAAGTGCGTTTCGACTGCGCAGGCTCGCACAAAGTGAGGTGTCGACTTCTGTCCGCGAGCGTTTTGCGTGGTATGTACCGCAGATTCGTGCTCTTGCTTGATGTCGAAGTGCGTTTCGACTGCGCAGGCTCGCACAAAGTGAGGTGCCGACTTCTGTCCGCGAGCGTTTTGCGTGGTATGTGCCGCAGATTCGTGCTTTTGCTTGATGTTGAGATGCGTTTCGACTGCGCAGGCTCGCAGAAAGTGAGGTGTCGACTTCTGTCCGCGAGCGTTTCGCGTGGTATTTACCGCAGATTCTTGCTTTTGCTTGATGTTGAAGTTCGTTTCGATTGCGCAGGCTCGCACAAACTCGATTTTTTGCTTTTTTGGCGGCTTGGGGGTTTTGTCTCGTGGTCCGGCGGCACGGGTTTCCGGTGAAAGGTCCCGGGCTCGATTCCCGCCCTGTCTGCGCGAGCTTGTTTCCCTTTCTTTGGGCATGCTTGGATGGTGCTTCTGTGCTGCGACGGCTTCTCGATGGTAACAACAACCAAACAGCAACAGCAACAGCAACAGCGCCACATTCATAGAAATGAAAGAAATACAGAGACAAAACAACGAGAACCAAGGAAGAAGCTACCTAGCTAGCTAACTCGCTAACTCAGGCACCCTGTTGAAACAAACACACAGATCTTGCCTTTTGTAGTTGCTTGCGCAGCCAAATGCCGCAAAATGATGTTGCAGCTTCCTGACAACAACCGCCGTTTTGCGGCGCTGCCCGCACAATACTCTGCAGCGTGTGACCGCCGCCTATCACGTGCCGGGGTAATGTGTCTTTTTTCCTCCATGTTCAGGTTCGCTGAACATTCAGCTCACCGCGCAACCCTTCAAAGGGTTTGGAGTGGCTTGGGATGGTAACACGTGGGCCAATCAGAGGGACCAAGTAGGCAACATCAAAGCCACATGAAAGTCGTGTAATGAAGTTATTTCGGCAGCTGGGGCTCTGAGAAACCCACTCATTTTTGGAGAATCCCACCTCCCAACCCCTGCAACCCTCTCCTTTGGGACCTCTCTACTGGAGGACCTAGTGGCGTTTTTTTTTGCCCAACCCGCCAACCCCCAAACCCCATCCAAACGTTTTGCTCCTCCAGGAGCTATTGGCGTGTTTTTTTTTCTCGCCCAAACCTCCAACCCCCCGCCCCCCCTCCACACGCTTTTGCTTTTCTCCAGGAGCTGTGCATCAAGCTCATGTGGAAGGCCTTCGAAGGCATGCAGAAGGGCGAGCCGCTGCCCGTCTTCTCCGTCTTCACGGTGCCCTATGCCAGGGGCTACATCTACATGGAGGCCCAGAAGGAGGCAGATGTCCGCAGGCGGGTGCAAGCAAGAAGCAGGATGTAGGGGTTGATCCCAACCATCATTTTCAACCCGTCCTTTTCAACAACCAGATGGGAAACCTCCCCTGAGCTTTTCAGATGGCCGGACCCTGGAGACCTGGCAAGTCCTCTTGATCAGCTTTTGGTTTATGGGCCTCTCGGGTTTAACCCGTGTGGCTGTTTTTGGGATATCTTGGTGGTCTCGTTTTAGTTGCTTTTAGTGGTAGTTTCTATCCACCCCACTTAAAAGTTTTCGACTTTAATCAGGGGATCTGAGGACAGCCCAGGTTTGTTGCTTGTTTATTTGCTGTCCCAAGGTTCAAACACACGACAAGCTGTGAACAAAAGTCTGGACCAGGGATGGATGATCTGAGTGGGATGAACCATTTACCATTTGGTGCAGGAGTTTGTCCACCTGAGCAAAGAAGCATCACCATGTGGTGAACTGTTGATATCCATAGCACAAGGACCGTGTTTTGGGGTCATCCCCGCCTTAAACATGAACTTGGGGCGGGGGGGGGGGGGACGCGACCCTTCCTTTGGTGGGGCGTCCCTTTGTTTCCCATGGCCTTTGGGGGTTCCCTTCTTAGACAGCATGGGACAGGACGGCATGTGTTGAGCCAGGTTCACCAAGGGCATCAACGGCATCTCTCAGTACACAGGTGGGCTGGAACGCGCGTGGAGCGCGCGTAGCTTCACACACCTCCCTTCCCATCCTCCAATACATGCATAGGGGTCAACATGCATGGCAAAGAGGGATCCTTGCTATGCATTTCCCACGCGCAGACCTCCAGGCTTTTGGATCAACCTACGTTCCAGACCTCCAAGGCGGCAAATCCTTTCACTCCCTGAGTTTTTGGCCTTCACCGTTGTGTGCATTTGTGTTTTTTTTGTTGGCTCTGTTCTTTTTTAGTAGCGGGCTGCAAAGTGTGTTTTTGATACCATACCAAGGGATTGAAAGGAAGACATTTTTGGAGGCAAAATTCGAAAGTTCAGACTTTCGTTGGCCAATCTCGATCCCCGACAAAGAAGTCGACGACCAAAAAGAGCCCCCAAGTCTTTCTTTTTTTCACATGGAAATCCACTAGCTCGGGGTTTGGGACAAACTAGCCCCAACCTCCTCACCCCGGCCACACGGCAGCTCCTAATAGTCTCAGCTTTCTTGTCTTACCAAGCGCCCGATTCTTTCCAACCAACCCCTTGCGAACCCGCAGAACCAAGATACCCAAGGAAGGCAGCTTTGAAAAGAGTTCAATGGTGGTTTGGATTGGTGGCAACTGGGGTTTGGATTGGAAGCAATTGGGAAACCGCCGTCTGGCCCACGCTCCAAACCTCGAAGAGCAAATCTGAATCGCTAAGAACGGGGAAAAACAACTGTTCGAAGAGGAAGCGGACACAACTTTTCCCAGCCGGAAAGTAGCCTATGAATCAACCAGGGGTTGAAAACTTCAGTGAGATCCACCAGGACACGCCTTAGAAAAATCGGATGTTTCAAGCTTTGTCCTTGCCTTGGCCTTTCGGAGCTTCCGACATCGAGTTCTGGCGCTTTAGAGATCGATTCTCCAAAAAGCTGCGTTCCGTAGTCCTGATAACTGATGACCCCCTGGCTGAGCTAGGGGTGGGGGTCCTGTTTAACTGGGGGGTGATGGGTCCCTTTCTATGGAAACACACAACTCAAAAGTGTTACCAACATTGAATTATGTGCGATAAACACATGTTGTAGATACTTTTATGGACACAGTACATGTATATATGTTCCAGGCCGTGGACCCCCCCCCCCCCTCCCCCCCCCCAACCCCCCCCCCCCTGTGTGGGGTGGTGGGTGGGGTGGTGGGTGGTGGGTGGTGGTGGGGTGGTGGGGTGGTGGGGTGGTGGGGTGGTGGGGTGGTGGGGTGGTGGGGTGGTGGGGTGGTGGGTGGTGGGGTGGTGGGGTGGTGGGGTGGTGGGGTGGTGGGGTGGTGGGGTGGTGGGGTGGTGGGGTGGTGGGGTGGTGGGGTGGTGGGGTGGTGGGGTGGTGGGGTGGTGGGGTGGTGGTGGTGGTGGGGTGGTGGGGTGGTGGTGGTGGTGGTGGTGGTGGTGGTGGTGGTGGGGGTGGTGGGGTGGTGGGGGTGGTGGGGGGGTGGTTGGGTGGTTGGGGTGTGGTTCGGAGTTGGTTGAGGCTTGGTGGGTTGGTTTAGGGTTGGTTCAGGGTTGGTTCAGGGTTGGTTTGCGGTGGGTTTCGGGTGGGTTTGGGGTTTGGGTTGGTTTAGGGTTGGTTCAGGGTTGGTTCAGGGTTGGTTTGCGGTGGGTTTCGGGTGGGTTTGGGGTTTGGGTTGATTTAGGCTTAGGGTTGGGGTTAAGGAGGGGTTGCAGGGTGGTTTGGTTTAGGGTAGGATGTTGCGAGAGGTGCGGGGGTGTTGGTTCACGGGGTGAAAGGGGGCCTGGGACCGCAAGTGGACAGCATCCCCAGCATTGCCAGCATCATCCCCAAGATGCGGATGATGCGGGGGAGTGGGGGGACCATACCATTGGGGGGGGGGGGGGGGGGGGGGGGGGGGGGGGGGGGTGGGGGGGGGGGGGTACGTGGCCCAGGGACTGGTACATATATATATATATATGTATACTATATGTATATGTATATCTACATATATGATGTTCCTGTGGATGGACAAAATCCTGCACCACTTGGAAGCCATTGGAAACCATTGTTAATTGGCATCTATAAGGGAGTCATCCCTCTAGGGCCTCTTAGTTGGTGCAGGATGTCGTATGATGTTGTCATTCTTGGCATTTCCAATTTTGGTAGAAACAAGTTGTATGGACACATCATATATTTATATATAGTGTGTATATATATATATGTATGTATGATGTTTTGTGTTTTTTTGGTCGGACCCCTTCCCAATTTTTCTCCGAAGCCAGGCCTCTCCTTGGTCCCGTTGGACCAGATGGCGGCGGTCTTCTCCGCGGCGGCCAGCCACGCGCAGAAGCAGAAGCTGCTGCAGCCGGGGGACTGGGTGCGGCTGAAGAAAGCGCCCTACCGGGGCGACCTCGCCCAGGCGCCGCGCATAGGTGTCCTTTTGATCGGTAGGTTGGGAATCCGAAAAATCCGATGGTTTGGTTCCACTGGTTCAGGGTGTATATCCCATATGCCAGTTGGAAACCCATCGAAATTTTCCAAAAGGCCATGCCCAGGCGCCAATTTTTCTTGCGAGAGAGATTGGCCAAGGGCAGCCCTTGGTTTGGTTTGGAGCCCGGTGGTTTTTTTGAGGAATTGAACCATGAATGAAGTGAATGACCCTCCCACCAATTCACACATGAATGAAGTTATCTCGAATGATCTCATCTTGTTTGGACCAAGGTGGTCCAAACCATAAAATGATCAGGCAACCCTTGGGTAGTGGTTTGGATTAGTGGTTCGGGGAATTGAACCCTCTTTTTGGACTGAGGTGGTTCCAACAATAGACTACCCAGGTTTGACCCAGGAATTGGATCCAATCGCCTTTCAGGGCCATATATAATGTCCCAAACCAGAACTTCGATCGGTAGCTCCGAAAGGCTCCTCTTTATATCAGCAAATTTGGCTAGCCGCAGCTCCGAGACGGCTCTCTGCCAACCACCAGGTACTCAAAGTTGCCAAACACCTGCTTCCTAAGTGGATGGGCCAAAATTTCCCTCCCAGCAAAAGGCACATAGAACCCTTCGTCCTCTAAAAAGGGGATCCGGGTTTGGAAATTATCAGGCAATCCTTAGTTGGTCTGGAGCCCGTTGGTTTGGGGAATTCAACCCCCGCTTTGGTTGAGAGTAGATGGAACACCCCTCCTTAACCAATGAAGTGAATTACCCTCCCACCAGTTCACACAGATTCACACATGGAACCGTTCAACGTTCGGGGGGGTCCGGGTTTGGACCACTGCCGTTCAAAAGGACCGGGCCCCTGTCAGGTTCCATGTCAATTGATGGGAGTGTATTTGCAACCCTTTGAGTGGTAAACAAGCCTTGCTGGTTAGCAAGGAATGATGAAATGACCCCTACAAACCACCCAACTGGTGGTTTCCTTTGAGGGAATTTTCTGGGTTCGTTCCCTCATTCCGTACTGAGCACCAGCAAGATCCCGTTTTGGTGGTAAACACAAGGTTTCGACGATTTTTCTTGGCCCAAGTTGGTAAGGGGGCTCTCCTGGAGCTGGGGGTATGCAATTTTGCTTGATCGCTTGCAACGGAGAATTCGACCTTTTGACTTGACCTTTGAGTACTGTAGTTTCCCCCTTTGTCTCACGTCCTGTAGTCACTTTTGAATTTGAACCATCGTGGTGAAAAATATTGACTTTTTCTTGGCCCATCGTCGCGGAGCTGCGGGTATGCAGATTTGCCGATATAAAGGGAGCCTTTCGGAGCTACCGATCGAAGTTCAGGTTTGGGACATCATATATGGCCATGAAAGTCGATTACTGCCTATTCCTGGGTCAAAAGTGACTGAGTGATGCTAGGTTTTGGTTGAACCACCTTCGTCCAAACAAGAGGGACATGCATCCCCACTGAATCTTGATGGCTAGAAGCCCGCCTATTAAAACTCATATGCATAGGGGCCATAATCGAAAGTATCATGTTTGGGTTTGGGAGTCGGAGAAAATGTTCCTGGCACACACTGGGCTTAAAGAAGCTCCTGGCCTTTGGGAAATTCACGTGAACCCTTTGGTGCATTTTGCTTGGATGTTAGGACTTTAACTTCTTCTTTTTTTAACCAACTAATGGGTTTTCTACAACCACTAAAAGTCAAACTTTTAGCAGGGGAGCAGAAAGCAGCCGAGAACAGTGGTGGCTCTTTATCGTGGAGTGCTCCAGGGTCTCTTTCGGTCTCGCCCAAGCGCGGGCTGAGCCATGGGACGAAAACCGGTTGGGCTCAGGTGAGCCACAATCAAAACCCGGGTAGATGAACATTCGTAAGGGACAATCCCAACCATAAAAATAGCTGCGGATATCCGCCTTCTTAATTCTTGAAGCATGGTTTTGGGATTACAACCGTTTTAATACCGATCGGTTTTGAGCAAGTGACTCAGGTGGAGGAGATCGAGGACGACGTGCACCTTTTGAAGCTGAAGCCGAGGATTCAAGGGGGTCAGATTGCCAAAGGCGGGGGAAAGAAGTGCTTGGTCCCCGACCTCTCACCCGTTTCTTTTTTGGAAAGGGGGAGGGTTCCCCTACTAAAATAGACTACAGAAAAAAGGGTACCAACTTATTCTAACCTCTCTACTCAAAAACCTGGAAGGGCTGTCGTTGCTTCCATTGGCTAAATTAAAATGTGTTCCCCCCCCCTGTTGCTTTTAAAAGGCATCTACCCCTACTGGAAATAATTTGTGTTTTTCAGGAGGCTGCGGCTAATGGAGCTCCAAAACATAGGTCTCCTTAGGTGAGTTGGGTTTGAAACAGATTGGTTCATCTGGTTTAGATGAGTTTCATGCCTGTGGTTTTGTCCCACAAGGTCAACACCCTGGTCCTCCAAAAACAGTTCTACTCGTTTCCGGAGTTCCGTTTCCGACTCGATACTTTTTGGGTTTGGACCCTT